CATGAGCGCCACCTGCTGTCAGAGAGTGAATCTGCATCTTATTCAGCTCGTCTGCTGTTTCCTTCAGATGTGTTTCATGTATAGTTTCACAAAAATAAAGTCAGACCATTCTGTTTTTGCTTCAAATTTCGAAAGTATACAGTCTCTAATTTAGATTAAAAACTGCTCATGTTGCATGTATGTGTAATGAATTAGTCCACTGAAGGCGAGCGTAGTGAAGAGCCCAAGTGCAGTTTATTTACAGTGTGATCCAAACATCGGATCACCTGTAAATAAACTGCACTTGGGCTCTTCACTACGCTCACCTTCAGTGGACTAATTCGTTACAGAATACACGACCACACAAAATTAACCCATCAGTTTCACGCCTCCTCTGCCTTCGTCAAGGTGACAGGCCTATTGAGGATAAGAGATTCTTCTCAACATGGCCGCCATTGAAGAGCTTCATTGCAAGATGGCCACCACACAAGAGTCTTTTCGCAAAATGGCCACCCTTCTAGAGTCTCGTCACGACATGGCCGCCATTTCAGAGTCTGCTCACGCCACGCCTATTGTGTAACTTACTTCTTTGATTTGGGCAGGCACGGCGCCAGAATTTTTTCTCTACCGGTGCTAAGGGGGGGCTAGACCAATATGTGGGGGTGCTAAGAAAATAAATGATATTGATGATGTCAGACTAAACCGGGGCTATTCAAAATTATGACGGGGCTATAGCCCCCCCAGCCCCGGTGTAGCGCCGTCACTGAATTTGGGGTTTGTTTTTAGTTTAGTTATATTTAAATTTCACAAAGAAACGTGCAGCAATAGCTTAATAAAACGACACCTTCTCATTTACTGTATAATGTCTTCAATCTCATTTTGTTAAAAAAATTGTGAGAAAATCGAATCGTGAAAACAAAATCAGAAGTTTTCTAAAAATGTTAGGTTTAAATATGCAAATGAGGCACTGTTTAATTAAATGCGCTAATTTGCATACATTTAATTTTTTGACATATTAGAGTTTTTACAGAGGGAATTTTGGGCATCTGATTTTTGTCACTCCATAATTCAGAAAACACTTAGAACAGACAGAAAACTATATATTTTCACAATTTTGGGGGGAATAATATGTTGTATATAATCAAGCAAATTCTATATGAACAAATCCCTCTGTAAAAATGTAAGTAAGTGCTACTGAAGTGGAGATTTATGGCTCAGTGTAGGAGGAAAAAACTCATTTGGAGAAAATGGCCTTTAAAAATATGTATTGTAATTGAAATCTGTTGACACAAATAAATAAAGTGCTATAATAGAAACACGTAACCGTGTCTTTTGGATGTTTTCTTTCCACTAGTCTGAAAAAACACTTTATGAAAAACCAAAAAGCCCAGGTGCAACAGTGTTTTTGCCTGCAGTGTCTCCCCTTAATTAACACGAGCACTCAAGGCCATCATGTAAATGTGCCAGATTTGGCCATACAGGCTAATTCTCATCTGCAGGTTGATGGTAAAAGAAAAACCAAAGTCCACAAGTACATAAAGAACAAATATAAAAGATTCTACATATAAAAACCAGAAGCAAGCAAGAAACCACATTTTTTAGACATGTTTAATTATCCAATAACCACCCTTTTATCGATGATGATTACAACACATTTATAAATAGAATATATCTTTTATGTTAGAAACAATATGTAATGATGCTTTACTGTGTATGTAATGCATGACAGTAGAGAAATATAATGTAGAAAATGTAATTTTCTGTAAAGCTGCTTTGCAACGTGAAAAGCTCTATACAAATAAACATGAACTGAATTGACTCTGAGCTGCTTCTTAATAAATTTGAGCCAAGTTGGATCAGAAATGGCTTGACTGGTCCGGTGGGAAGTGTCTCCTCCGTCTCATGTAAAGCGTTTCTTTAGTTCTAGTTAGACTCAGCCAGTCTTGTATAACTGACACTGAAAGGCAGGATTGCTTTATGATGAGCGACACGGACATTTAATTATGTTAAAGTTGTGTCTCATGCCTTTGTTAGTAAGTTTTCAGCGACAAATATCTCAAAAACTAACTTTAACCTATGAATATAGGACTAGGTGAACTTGAAATCCTGATGCTGAGACTGTAGCTTTTTAAAGCTAATTTCTTCTTATTATTATAGTATATGTATATTTTTACCTTTATTAAAATGTATCATTCTTATTATATTATTCTTCATCTTTATTGCTCCATAATCTGTTTTTATTATGTAATGATAATTTTATCTTATGTTATAAATTCTCTATTTATTATTTTGTGTTCAATTATTTATTATAAAATTACGATATATTATTAATATCAAATTGATATTACGTGGTTTGTTTTATTATTTTACCAATATTCTTATTAAATACTGCACATTTATAAATAGAATATATATTTTATGTTAGAAACAATATGTAATGATGCTTTACTGTGTATGTAATTGTCACGAATTCGGTCCATGGACTTCCGTTTATTCACCACCAGAGGTCACCCTTTCCATTACATTGACTCTCGCACAACACAAACTGTTGCATAGCACCCCGGACTACATATCCCATCATTCTTTGCACGATTTGCACACTGCACTGATTGCACTCATTGCACACAGCTGTTTCTAATCACCTCACTCACTATATAACACCCACTCTAACCACCTTTCTCTGCTGAGTATTGTTTAGCCCGTACCCCATTCCGAATCTCTGTGTTTTCCTTGTTTTGCCTTGCCTTGCCTGTTTCCGCGGTTTCTGATCTTTGCCTGTTTTCCTGGATTTTTCCCTCTCGTCTCGCCCCTGTGATTCTGTCTGCCGATCGGTGACCTACGCTAGCCCTGGGACTATTCTTGTGTTTTGCCCGCCATATACCTGTTTGCCATTGTTTGACCCTGCCTGTTTACCACGTCTCTTTAATAA